GAAGTTCTATTGGTTTTAGAAAGTGTCATTCGTCAGGTCTTTTCTAAAGTCTATTAACTGTCCAGCCATGGGTAGTTGGCTAGTTTTACAGTGACAGGCATACATTCCCTCCTATTGAGCAGGCCTTAAGCACAATCAGACATCTGTTTGTTATTCCTAATATAAAAATGAATTATTTCACCATTGGGAGCTCATTGCTGGACCATTCATTATTGTAGTTTGTAGACGTTATAGCTGGTAGGAGTATTGATTGCTTTTCTCCCTTGGAAGCTTGCATGGCACCTTTCCATACTATCTGAACTAGTCCTCAGGGAAGAAGCTTCCAGGCCAGGTCCAGCTTAATTCCTTCATGTCCTTTGTCTGAAGTGTATGGTGTCTTCATCAATAGCATCTTATCTTCAAGTTCTTGGATGCAGCCAAGGGCAGTGACAATAGTCTATATTGTTTTGAGTACTAGGGAATGAGGGAAGCATTATTACCCTATGCATCACTCCATTTACAGCACACACACACACACACATATTGTATATGTGTAATGTAATGTAATATATTGTGTAAATGTTCCCCCAAATAAGTTTTTATAGAAAATTGTAATATTCTGGAAATAATACAAATGTCCATTAAGAGAGAAATGGATAAACAGATTGTGGTATAACCATAAAATGGGAAACCTCAGCAACAAAATGACACAAGTACTGATGTAAATCTAAAAGTACGCTAGATTAAATGAAACAAACAATAGAGTACGGGTTTATAGCTTCATTTACATAGAACAAAAGAATCTAATTCACACAGACAGTAGCAATAATTCCATCTTGGATCTGTGATGCAAGGGTGTGACTATTTGTTAGTAGTTATTAAACTATACACTTTGAATTGCATATACACTTACTGTATATAAACAATTTATTTTTAAAAGTTGACTTCAGCAAAAAGATAAAAGAAACCTGGGTAGAGTTGTACGTATGGCAGAGGCACTGGAAAGGCATGAAAGATTGTAGTTCTATAAACAAAAGGAGAATAGATAATGCTGTAGGTATGCTGAGTTTTACATGCCTGATGACACCCCACGTAAGGCATAGAAAAGATGATTGGCAACATCTAGAAATCAAAACAATAATCCATACTGGAAGTGCAGACTTGGGGATCATCCAAATACAGAAAATACTTAAATTTAGGATGTGTGAAATTATCTAAGGTAAAAGGAAGGTGTGAAGAGAATGGACCCCAAAGAGAATCCTGAAGGTGCTAATATAATACACACAGAGAGGTGCTTAAAGAAAGTAAGATTAATTCTGACCTTGTGTATGGCTGTACCTGTTTACAGTCCTATTACTTGAGGCTGAGACAGGAGACTCTGAAATTTGAACTGGCCTGAGCTCCATAGTGAGTTCAAGAGTAGCCTGGGCTATATAGTGAGACAGGAAGGGAAGGATGAAGGAGGACACATTCAAGTCAGGGATACTGAGGGGAATTGAGTGTCAATCCAAGAGACAGTCTACTCTGCCGAATAATATTTCTGACAAGTAAATCAGGATCTGAAAATTCCATCAAGTTCACTCAGATAGGCCACTAAATATGTGAGAATTCCTAGGCCAATGGTGACCTTGTTTTTCTTTGTTGGCTTGCTTTTGCAATGTGAGATGGAAATATCTATAAATATTGGTAAGAATGAACCTACAGAGAACTGTGGGGGGCGGGTGATTCAAGGATGAATTTCTTGCTATGAAGGGCCAGGGCAGGTTGGGAACTGCAGACAGGAGGAGAGATTAACCTTTGATGAGAAGAGGTATTTTCTTCTATCTTATCAGGGCCAATGTTAGAAAAAAACAGGCAAGGATGGGTGAGTGTATTTGATAGTAGAAAGTAGAGGATATGAACAAGATATCTTGAGGTCCCTTCTGAATCTGAAATACTATGGTCTTTGTTTCCTTAGGGTACCCAGCAGGTTTAAAATGGACAAAGAGAAAAATGTATCATTTCCTCTGGTAAATGCCTATGAATGGAATTTATTTTATTATTCAACTCTACTTAATTAATTATTGATCTGGTTCTGTGACAGGAATGATCAATATTTTACATGGAATGGGTTTAAGGCTCCTTGCTTTGGGACATCACACACCTTTTATGGTGAGAGATTTTATTTATTTATTGGAAACACGTTACATTTTCAGCATGGAAAGGCGTTTGAGCTAGTAGATTGACGTGAATTGTGTGTGCTTGCTTCCAGCATCTTGGCATGGCTCACAACTACAGGAACAGCAGTCAGGCTGTGCAGGCTGTCCGCGATGCAGGCTATGAAATATCTCTGGGTTTAATGCCAAAGTCAATAGGACCCTTAACCTTTGTGTTCACGGGGACTGGCAACGTATCCAAGGTAGCCCCACCGGCCCGCTCTGTCAAGCAATCTGAATAGCTGAATATTCCCTGGACCTTTCAAACAGAATGAATGACCATTCAATTTGGAATATTTTTTTTTTTGTTGTTGTTGTTGTTATGTTTTTACTGTAGCAAAGATCAGCAATAGCCCAAGCATTTTCTTTTCTTTTAGCTGATATGGTCTATTAGAGCAGTGGTTCTCAACCTGTGGGTTATGACCCCCTTGGGGGCTGGACAACATTTTCACAGGGTTCACATATCAGATATCCTGAATTTCATTTATTTATATTACAATCCATAACAGTAACAAAAATACAGTTGTGAAGTAGCAATGAAAATAATTCCGTGGTTGTGGGTCAGCACAACATAGGGAACTGTATTAAAGGGTCACAGCATTGGGAAGGTTGAGAACCGCTGTATCAGAGGCTTGCAGTGTCCCTTCACCCTTCACCCTTCCGACTTCCTTCCCCTCATTCTTTCTGCCTTGTTTCCTTCCTTTGATAACTCCTTATTAATGATATAAAGCACCACCCTTAAGGTGATTGGTTGTTTCTTCATTAACTGCTTGGAATCTTGCTAGTAACTAAGTGTCTTAGGGTTTCTATTGCTGTGACAATAAGGCATTTTCTTAATTAGTGTTGATGGTGGGAGTGGAGCAGTCCATTGTGGGTGTTTCCATCTGTGGGCTGGCGGTCCTGGATTCTATGAGAAAACAGTCTAAGCCACCCAGTAAGTAGCAGCCTTCCACGGTCTCTGCATCAGCTCCTGTCTCTAGTCTTCTGTCCTGTTTGAGTTTCTGTCCCATGTTTCTTCAGTGATGAGCAGTGCTGTAGAAGTGTAAGCAAAATAAACCCTTTCCTCCCTGTAACCAAAAGGAAGCTGGGGAGAAAAAGGGTTTATTTGGATTACACTTTCACCTCACTATTCATCATCAGAGAAAATGAAGACAGGAACTCAAACAGGGTAGGAACCTGGAGGCAGGACCTGACGCAGAGGCCATGGAGGGGAGCTGCTTACTGGCTTGCTTCCCCTGGCTTGCTCAGCCTCCTTTCTTATAGAATCCAGGACCACCTGCTCAAGGATGGAAAGACACACAAAGGGCTGGACCCTCTCCCATCAAGCACTAATTAAAAATGCTTTACATCTGATCTTAAGGGGGCATCTTCTCAATTGAGGTTCCCTCCTTTCAGGTAACTCTAATTGTGTGTCAGGTTGGCATAAGACCAGCCAGCACACTAAGGAAGATTAAGACTGGAATTAATGCTTCCTTCTGGAGTGGCATTGAAGCTGCATTTGTAATCTCCTAGAGAAACCTGTAATTGAAAAATCAGTCTGTAGTTGCAGAAGTTTTACAACCAGAAGCTCTGTTAGCGCTAAATTGTAAAGCATGTACCCGATCTTTTCCTTCTGTGGTAGACAGTCTTCCCACTTAAAATAATTTTTATAGTGAATCAAAAAGTGAGTAGGCACATTGTGTTACACCCACTTTTCTAAACTCTTGTTGCTGTTCTGAAGAACTAGTCCCTTCTAATGCAACTGAAAGCAAAGCTGGCTTGTCAGCTACCAGCATGACACTCTGTACTTCTGTGTTGTGATCCTGGTTATAGAACAGGGCAAGGGGAACTATGCAAATGTGAATCCTTGCCAGAAATCTGTTGGCCATGTCCCTACTGAGGTTTGATTCTTTTGCTCATGCACTATTTGCAGGGAGCCCAAGAAGTCTTCAATGAGCTCCCCTGTGAATATGTGGAGCCCCATGAATTAAAAGAAGTTTCAAAAACTGGAGGTAAGAGGTGAGGAGGAACCTCATCTTTTACTGTTTGTAATAGTCTTTATGTTAATATTTTATCACCATAAATTGTCATCATTTGACATTTTACTGATTTCTTCTTTCTTTGTAAGACCTCAGGAAAGTGTATGGGACAGTGTTAAGTCGCCATCATCATCTTGTCAGGAAAACAGATGGTGTGTATGATCCTGTAGAGTATGAAAAATATCCCGAGCGCTACATAAGTCGTTTTAATACAGATGTGAGTATTTGGCTTTGATTTGGTTGCTATGACACCATAGTTAAGCTGTTTTCTGAAAGGGAAATTGTAAATGTGTACATTGATTCTTCTGGTCCTGGTGTAGTCCTTTGGTTCTATTGTGTTGGATTAGTAGCTGGCTTCTAATACTTAGGATTGATTGAGGTGGTCTTTGCTTAGTGGTTTTGGTGGCTCCTGTGGGAATGTCCCCTGCTTCACAGTCTCTCTATATCACAATGCATATGCTCATTAGTTTTAAACAAGTTTCTGAAGAGCCTTGTTTTCTGTGTTAGTCTATACCAGTTAATACTGTTGGCAAAAATGCAGTGTCTCTGAGGCTCGCTCTTAACATAAAAGTGTCCTAACATTGTAAAAAATTGGCTTTTTTCACTACTCAGAAATAAAAGTAGTGTTTCTCACATCTGAGCGAGTGCTCTACCACTGAGCAATATCCCAGAGGTTTATTCTTTCTGTTGCCAAAAATAGTAACCGTAACCTCAGCTAGCATCTTAGTTGACTTTAAAATAAAAGACCTGAGGTTTGAAAGAAAAGAAGTTATTAAGTTATTAGTTTACCTTTTCTTTTTCAGAGCAGGCTTGTCACCAGCATTTAGAAAACCAGACCTAGGTAAAGAAGTAGGTCCGGGGATACAGACCTGGTCTCACAATAGCAAATGTCTAGCTTGTCCTCAGTTTACCATTTTGGAGGCCTGAAGTACAAAGCATGGTTCAGGCTCTTTCATAGGTTCCCATTGTCTGCATCATATCATGGTGGGAGGTTGTGTGTATCTCTATCCATGTTCTCTCTTTCCTTCTTCTAACTAAACCATGAAGACTCATCATGGGTGCTCCACTCTTTTCTAATCTAATTTAATCACTTTCCAAAGTCCCCTCCTCTTAACACTATAGTTGCATTCAGCGCCTACTCTCTAAATACCATGAACATGAGACTTCGTTGGTTAATCTTTGCAGGAGTTCAAGGGGCAACTGTATTTTAACCATTAGCATTATGCCCCATAAAACTTATGTCCTCACATTTAACATATGTGCATTTCATCCCCAGTAGTTCCAAAGTCTTAAGTCAAATTAACTTCAAATTCCAGAGTCTCACTTGGAACTCAAGTCTAACATCTTTGGCTCAAAAGCTATATAAAATAAAAATCAATCTGGATATTGTCCAAAATATGGCTTATAAACTATATCCTTCTGGTGGGGAAACAGAGGCTTTGTTTTCTAAGAAATACAATCAGTCATGTAACAGCTCTCCTAAAACAAGCCAACAAACTAGAAACCAATCATAACTCAAAAGGCATACACACATTATGAAAAGAAATGCTTTCTATAATTTTCAATGTGCTTGTGCAATGTAGCACCTTTAGATTCTGGTATGAAATTTTGCTATTTTAGGGTGTGTTACAGACAAAGTTCTTCCCTTCCATGTGGGAATGCCTCGAGATACTTAAGGCACACAAAGTATATAAAAACAATTTAGGTTGAAAATAGCTTTAAATTTAGTACATATCATCTCTTCTTTTTAAAAATAATTATTTTATTTTATAGAACAATAAATACCTTTATTACATGAGCTAAGAGTGATGGTCTATTTGCCTTTCTGAGCTTTCGTCTCCCTCAGATACAACTCCAAAGCCTTGCCTCTTAGCATAGAGCCATCTGCTCTACCACCTTGGCCTGGTCCCGAGGTTATACAGGCAAGATGCTCACCCTGCTGGAGCTGTTCCTCCAGAAGACTGCTGATTTTAGCGTTCTTTTTCCTTTCATCATATTTCTTTTGAATTTTCTTTGATCATTTTTGTTTAATATTTCTTCCTCCCCAGGAGTCTGCTTACTCCCCTTCTTGTGGCCAGGGGCAGTGCACAGTGGGACTTGCACCAATGTTGGTACAGTATGCTGTCGATAAGCTCAGTGCAGTTCTTCACCAGGGTCTTGTTTTGGGCCAGGTTGTTATTAGATGCATTGTAGACAACAATTTTGTTTTGTAGACAAAACAAAACTCAGAGCCCCTAAGATTGGATGTGGGGCATGGCCCTGTACTTCTCACTGCCTCCTCAATCTCTGACTGTGTGTATACCATGAGGGACAGTCTTAGAATTTGTTAGATTTGTGCTTAAATTAAAGGCGCACTCTATGGAACACGAACCATGGAGAGCATAAAGAGTGCATTAATTATAGAGATTATTACGATGGGAGAGAGAGACGTACAGAAAAGCGAAGAGAGAAGAGGAAGAGAAGAGAGAACTTAAGTGGGCAGGGTCTGTCTTTTGAAGGGTCCTTTACACCTGCTTTCAGATTTAGTTCCCACGGAACCCTGGGCTGACCAGAGTACTGCCTGAGTGGATTCTGCCAGGTAACAGAGGCAGGCCCGCATAATGCCTGAACCTTTCCGTATTGGCAGCAGGGTGTTCCAGCTTCTACTTCCGCTTCTTGTGGTAGGTCTTTCTCTCACTTGCTGTCTTGTGGGGCTTGTACTTCCGCTTCTTGTGGTAGGTCTTTCTCTCACTGCTGTCTTGTGGGGCTTGTGCTAGTTGTCACAAGTGATGCCTGTTGCTTGGTGCAGGCTGGAAAGAGCCATCACTTCTTTTCTAGTTTCACACACTCTGCTTAGTTCTCCCTTTTATCCAACCAACCCTTCCCATGCACTGTGAATTGATCAAATTCGTGTCCTTTTTTTCATATCTCTCCTTGTGTCTCTGTCTCTATATACTAATGTGTGTATATGTATATGTATGTATATGTATATATACATACATAAAATGTGTGTGCCTAAATATGAAAATGCAACCTGCTCAGTCCATTTAGTGTTACTTATATGACTTCTGAGCTGACCACTCTGCTAGACAAAGAGCTAGATAGGCAATAAGGGATACTATATAGAGAGTGGGAGGTAGTCTTCCTAATGATGAACCCCTTCATTGGCTCTCTGCCCCTAATTTTAATCCTGAAGCATACATATTAGTGATTAGATGAAGATTTGTACTGAAATTGATGGTGACCCACTTGTCACATGTACATGTTTATATATAAGCACTACCCTAGAGAGGTTATCCGATTAATCCTCAAGCATTCTTTTGAGGACTGGTATCCCCATCTGGCAGGTAAGAGCAAAATAGAGTGCAGAGAACTTGAGTATGATTAGTGTTGTGTTCTATGGTATTTGAACCTGGAAATAAGAGTTCTGGGTCACTTGATTCTTTGCTATTTTATTTTTCCTAGTTATGCAACATATTAGAGAATAAAATATGAATGTATTTATTATATTCATGTCTTATCACGGAGCAATTCTACGGTGAAAGGTGGGTGAGTATTATCTTTTCCTCAGAAGATGGCATTGATCTGGACAACAAAATGGTCAATAGAGGCACCACTGATGCTCTGTCATGGGCTCTGCTCTAATACAGTCTCTTTCAGTGAGTGGTTTTAACATATGCTACATCCTTTTTTGTTGAACATGGAACTTGCTTCACAGATTGCACCCTATACAACTTGCTTAATTAATGGAATCTACTGGGAGCAAAACACCCCTCGCCTGCTAACTCGCCAGGATGCTAAGAGTCTCCTGGCTCCAGTGAAGTCTGCAGTGGTTCCTGTTGAAGGGTGCCCTGAATTACCACACAAGTAAGGAAGTGAAAATTAAGTGGTTTTTTTGTTAGTTTGTTTATTTGTCTTTGTTGTTTTGCTGCAACACCATTGTTAGGGGACCAAAGACTATAGTGTTCCTGCATGCAAGAGATACAGTGATAGTCTGACCTGACCTCCTGGAAGCATTTTACAGTTACCCATCCCTCCTGAGACTGATTTCTGACTCATTTGGTTCCAAAGCTCACTCCTTAGAAATCTCCTTATAATTAATCTCATTCCTCTCTAGTTTGTTACTTTGTTTTGAGAAACTGACAATCATCTATTTTCCTGTGTTTATGATTGTTCTTTCTCCTACTGGAATTTATTCTCCTGAAAGATAGGGATGGTCTTGACTTCAAGTACTTGGTATAAAACAAATATTGAATTAGCTCTTAAATACTGAATGAGTTAATTAATAATTATTTGTGAGACACATTATTTACCAGGGATTCCGCTAAACTAAAGTTCAGAGAAGCATAGCTGGGCTGTTTGCCGCTCTGAAGCAAATGTCATCGGAACACTAGGAACAACAAAATGTAACAGGAGATTAGATGAAGTAGGCACACTGGAGACAGAACACAATGGTTAGATCATTTCTGAGCACAAGGCTGATAAGCACAACTCTGCAATGAGAGCGAGATATATTCTATTACTTGTAGCAAAGAAAGCAAGGGACTTTCGTTGGGCAAACTCCTCTATATTTGCATAGGGAATCTCTCCTCACAGCATGTAGAGGTGGACATACTCCTGGGTGCTCTCAGTTCAAAATAATGCTTTTCTATGCATTGCATATTTGGAAAATGAAGAGTAGGAACCCTTCATGGCAGAGCATTTACTATGGCAACAGCAAACGTTATCTCACTTAGGGTGTGCTACTATTTTTGTCCCTTGGGTTTTTTTGAAGGGCCTGTGAGACACAAAAACAACTCAGAGAGCCTGTTGTTTTTTTTAAAGATAAAAGAGTATCCCCGTCCCAAGATTAGTAATTGTTTTTAAAGTATCTGACCAGTGGCTAACTCTGGGTTCAGCAAAACCATTAAAAACAAAAAACAAAAAACAAAACAAAACAAAACAAAACAAAAAACAGAGGGAGGATGAACATGCCAATGTAGGACTATTACTTGGTAAGTTCAGAATCACTAAAATGCAAGCACTGGGCAGAGCTATCTCTAGTACGTAACATTATATAGGTGTGTGGTGACTGGAGACAGGACAGGAACATTGTGACTAGTCTCTTTTCAAGAGGTTATGACTGCCAATCATAATTCAAGAGATTTCCACACATATACCTAGAGGATTATGTAGCACGGTCAACTCTTCCTGTCCATGGGGAATGGTTTCTAAGCCCTAGTAGAGAGCAATATCTATTGATATTGTCTGCTTCACATGGGATCTGTGTTGCTGATGATGCCTAGTACATCAGCACAGTCAGTGGGGCCTGCTGGTGTTGGCCTGCAATATGGCTATATGTGAGTGTGAAGAAGGAAGATTAGATGTTTAAAGGCTGTCTAGGATGGCTGTCTAAATGGCCGAACTGGGCAACTTAGTGATACCCTGATTCAAAATAAAAAGGAGAAAATAATAGGATAGAGCACTTAAAGTTCTCTGTTCAGTGCCCACCAATGGAAAAAGAAAGAAAAAAATGAATATAATCAGTTAAATTGTATACATGTATGAAAGAGTTAAAATAAAACCTATTTGTACGGTGGACATATGCTAGTAAAATGATTACTCAAGAGGGCTGAACAAACGATTGAGCTGCATTGTTTTAGTAATAATAATAAGAAGAAGAACATTTTTGTGTGTATTGAATATTTTGTGTGTGTTGAATATTGATGCAACATTCTTTTCAAGTGCTTTCAGTTTTCAGCTGAATGCAAGGATGAAGAACCCGGAAATGGAGAGGTAGTTGCACTATCTAGAATAGCTATTTACAGATGGTGAACCAGGCCACCTTATTCTGAAGCATATCAAATGTTTCTGTAGCACATCAAATTTTTCTGCTTCCTTCCCTTCTTTTTTATTATTCTCATGGAAAATAAAGAACCCTGTGTCTTAGAACAGCACAATGTTCTGAAGACTGAACTGTA